TTCAAACACTTTGGCAGTAGCGTTCCCCGTTACTAGTTTTAGTAACATCCGCTATGAAATATATCAACACTCTCTGGTCAAACAGAGCCTGTAACGCAAACCGCAGAGCGATGAAGAACTTTTAAATTTGATCAGAGACACGCTTCGATACAAAGATAACAGCTGGTTGTCATGTAATACGGTGAATAGCTTGCCAGTCAGCATGGCGTTGTTATGGGAGATCGGTCACGTGATAAACTCCTGCAAAAGGCCTATTCTTTGTACTTTTCTCATGATATCAACAATGAGAATCTAATGATACATCACATGATATCCTTTAGTTTATAGCCCCTTTCTTGCTAGCACCTTTCCACTTGAAATGAAATGATATTGTTACAAGAACTTCGTTAATTGTAACTCTTGGGAGTGAGTCATCGAGTCATTGTTGATGTTTTATCGATGTCTCTCTCACCAGACACTCTTTATATTTAGGCCCCTACACGGCTGATCAAGTTTTAAAATCTTCGGCCTGGTTGGAGCTGGTTACCCTGTAACTCGTCAAACACTTCTTAGGTAGCATTTACGTACAGCAGCAATTATGCCTTCCCCTGATTTTCAATAACGAGTTTGATTCACTTGCTTCTTTGTATACTGAGATACTCGCCAAACATTAGGTTAATTGGTCTATTAGACAACTCGTTTAATAACAACGAAGTACTAGTTTTGTCAAAGAATGATCTATACCATGTATATTATGGTTCTGAAATTTCACGAATAAAAACTGGAAATACTTTCTGCAAATATCTGTTCTTTCATTTCTAGGCTTGAAATTAAAACTGTACACTCTAAGATCGCCAACTGATTCAAACGTGCGTCTGATATCCACGTAAGTCGGGACTTGTTTGGGCACGTACGAGGGATGCAACTGTCTACAACTGTTCTTAATGGTCTGCTCATTAGCATTTTAATTTCATTAAATAAGTTGTGTGCAACGCACTGAGCTGGCCCTTAATTTTATGAGCAAGAAAAGATTATAAATGCCTCGTCAGCAAACAAATGCCTCGCGAAGAAATTTTTTCTCGCGAGTGACTTCAGTATTTTTCATTATAAAACGGGAAAAACTTCCGCAAAAAAGTTAAACTAGACATCGCAACAAGCGAACAAGCCGACAAGCCGNGCGTTTTACTAGTCCGCGTTTTACTAGTCCGCGTTTTACTAGTCCGCGTTTTACTAGTCCGCGTTTTACTAGTCCGCGTTTTACTAGTCCGCGTTTTACTAGTCCGCGTTTTACTAGTCCGCGTTTTACTAGTCCGCGTTTTACTAGTCCGCGTTTTACTAGTCCGCGTTCTACTAGTCCGCGTTTTACTAGTCCGCGTTTTACTAGTCCGCGTTTTACTAGTCCGCGTTTTACTAGTCCGCGTTTTACTAGTCCGCGTTTTACTAGTCCGCGTTTTACTAGTCCAGTCCAGTCCAGTCCAGTCAAGTCCAGTCCACACAATATCATATTCCCTTTCTGTACGGCTCGCACGTGAAAAAACATGATACGCGGCTCCTGATCGGACATATCGCTTTTCTCACATGTGGGAAAAGCGATACACGACATTTGATTGGTTTACATCAGTTTGCGAACGAAAATTTACTCTACGGCTTTTCAGTGTATAAATCTAAGTATGTATATAATAATTTTAATTATTTCAATAAATAAGTTGTGTGCAAAGCACTGAGCTACCCTTAATTGTATTAGCGAAAAAAGAATATCACGATTTTAATTCATGCGAAGAATTTGGAAGTGACTCTGCTTTTATGTTAAGAGTTTTGTACAAACAGTGGGGAGTTATTTGAGAACTTAAAAACTTTAAATTTGAGTCCATATCCTTCACAATTGACACGAGAGGAGAGGAACCTCAACTACGTACGAAAACGAGTAAAAGGGCTCTGGTCGCTTGTGAATAATGCACCTAGAGGCATAAGTTGTACGCACGAAAACAGACCTCTCTGTGTTGGCCAAGAGATTCAACGCATTACTAACTGTTACTTCTAAAATCAAGAAAATCTGAAGTGCTCTGGATTAAGTCCCATTCCATAGTATCTAAGGGTCTTTCAAAATCTTGCGGAGGTGAAATTCCCGTAATGTCTTAGGCTTCAGTTTGGTCTAAGCAATCATTAGCGAGGCGAATGTATTCTGCAATGCAGCACCCTTTAATAAAACCTTTCCGAGTAGGGTTAGTCATTAGTGGACGAACTTTTTCTATTCTGTTAGCAATAGCCTTAGAAGCGATTTCAAAATTGTACGCTTGCGCGGGTTAATCAAACCATTAAACACAGTTATGCTCCAAGTTAACCAACAGGCTCTCGAAAGTAATCTTCCATTTTATCGAACTGAAAAAAACAAACACTGCAATAAACACAGCTGAGATTAACTAGGAACTAAAAAAGTTTGAGTTTTGTTTCAAATAGAAATGCCTTCGTCTGCTAATTAAACGTTTTTGACATGAGACGCCGGTGCAGGATGCAAATCTTATCAAGATATCGAGTGGGTTGACGGGTCATTAATTAAAGACGAATCCAACTGAGTAACTTTGCTGTGAATTAATTTACCAAACCCGTTGTCCAGCCAACATGTCTGGTAGTAGGATTATTTGGGTTCTCTGGTTCCTGTTAATCGTGATCCTTATCATCTCCAAAGGTAAGTAAAAGTATACTTCTTCTCTTTGTTATATACCCTACTTGAATTGTTGTTTACTGGAATTTCAGAAAATTGATCAGAAAAGATCAGAAGCTTGCGTAACTTTCGGTTGAGGATTCTGAAAATTGTACCTTGTCAAAGCAATATTTGCCATTGAACAACAAAGTTTTAGTCATATTAACACTTGGAAATGAGATTTAGTGTTCTAATGAAGAGTCCCCAACATCGCAAGAAAATCACGTAAAACTCAGTTTTGTTTTCAGCCTTAATTAGCATTGCATTTGGGAATAAAGAATCGTCAACTCCAAAACTAATTTCGTCGCTTGAAAGAGCAACAAGCTAAATTTTTTTTCCAAACGAGCACAATTTAGCATAATTTCTTTTCATTTTGAGCTACAAAAGGTCTGTCTAAATCAAGATAAAACGGAAACAAATATTGGGAAGTTTTGTAACCTCGCGGTTAAACGCAACGGGACTTTCAGCTGAAAGTCCCGCCAGTAAATATACTTCATTCCAATGTCTCCCACACCGCCCTAATTGGTAGTAGCATTATGTAAGTTATGCCAATCCGGTTGGGTCGAGTTAATTAGAGATTGGAGCAAACAAACGTATGATTAATCTTCAGTCGGTCAAAACAAGAAATTAAAAGATGTCTAAGCCGTCGCACTTTTAATGAAATGCCAAACTAAATTAAACCATGTAAGTGAAAAACACTCCAAATAACTTCTACTTTCAACACACTACTGCGAAAACTTCAAAACTAGTTTCGTATACGACCTCGTAGACGAAACTAGTTTTGAAGTTTTCGCAATACTGTGTTGAACGTAGAAGTTAGTTGGAGTGTTTTTCACTTACATGGTTTATATGGCGTTAAGTAACACTTTCTTAGCTTCGGTCAGTATAATTTCACAACAAACTAAATTAAAGCGACTGAAATTAATTTGTCCTGCTTTAAAAATTAGAGGCCATTTACAAAACATTAAGTCCACGCATTATATATAATAACCTAAAAGTAACTGAACTCGTTTCGTCCATAACGAGAATAGAAAATAATTATACTTTGTACACATCGATAAGTATTTAAAGTTCAATTTAGAAGATGGGAAACAAAGAAAACGCTCCGATTGTTTTCGCCAAAAAGTCGTGCAGGCATCAATGATCTCGTTTCGCCAAAAATATTATGGCTATCCCTGGCGAGATTAAAAAAAAAAAAACATTTATTCAAACACTTTGGCAGTAGTGTAGGTCACCTTACTGGCACCATTTCATATCCATATATTCATAATTAGTTATTCATACCGTGTAGGTGTACGATGGCGTTATTAGGGTTAAATATCACGTAGGTGTATAAAGAGGGATTATTAGGGTTAGGGTTAAAATGTAGCGTAGGTGTACGGGGGTTTTTAGGGTTAGGGTTAAATTTCGTGAGAAGGGTGAATAAAAACATCATAACGGTTTTTTCAAAAACAAAAGAATCCAAGATGGCGAGGGAATTAAGTACAACATTTGGTTTATTTGTTCACTCTGCACGATATTTGAGTTGTAAATAGGTAACATAAGCTAGAAAAGTTGTCATCATGTCTTGGTATAATTGATGAAATGTAGAATGTTCACACACTTTTGCATCATAGGTTTCAATCTCGTCAATGTATCTTGTTACTTGTCTACGTATTTCACAAAGATCTTACGTGGTAGCTTTTTCTTTCACAATGGCAAATAATCGTCTAGGACGGCTCCGGCCCACTGGGGATTCTGTTCAATATCTTCGTCCAAACAGTTGTTTTTCAGATGACACGATGTTATACATAAATGTGTTTGAACGTAAATTTCGCTCTTATTGACAAGCTGTCATCATGTCTCTGTAAAACTGATGGGAAGTAGATTGTTCTCCCATGTTGGAATCATAGGTTTATGGCAACTTCCGCACGGTCTGGGTCCGAGTGATTCGGCCAAGCGGGTTCTAATTAAATATTCATACGGCGTAGGTGCGCGAGGGGGGTTTTAGGGTTTACTCATGCGGCGTAGGTGAACGAGGGGATTACGGTTGTTGGGGTTAGGGTTGTTGGGGTTGGGGATGTTGGGGAGGTTAGGGATAGATTTCACGTTGGTTCGTGGGTTGGGTTTTTTTGCATCTCATTTTAAAAAATAACGGTTTTCTCAAAACAATTGGAACAAAAGAATCCAAGATGGCGGAGGGGTTAACTCCAACACATTGTTTTCGCATACGTGCTGTTTATCGTCACACAACACAGGGAAAAGATAATAGACCCTATGTTACGCGTTTGGGTATCGCGGGTTAGACATACTAATCTAACCGACTAAGACTGTGAGCAAAAGTTGTATTTATAAGAGTCCCAAAAGGTTTTCACACGCATGTGGCACAGGTTATTCAGGACGCATGACTTTTACGTTTAAAACTGAATGCGTGTCGTTTAAAACGCAAGTTTGGTAAACAAGAATAGACAGGCAAGATTTTTGCATATTTCACAAAAGACGGTTATTTGTTACACAACACGTTGTCATACAGGGTCTTCAGAGCGAAGAACTTCAAAATAATAAGAGCACTCTAGAAACCAAAGTGGTAGACGAAATATGAGTATTTATTATGAATGATACACAGTATCACGCAACTACCCATACCATAGGACAATAGAGTATCCACACTTGAAAATTAGAAGGAAACGTATGAGAGATGTAGGAAGGAAACACAAATTAAAAGCGTTGAATAAATCCTGGTTTAGGGTTAAATTGCGTAGGTTATAGGGGCGTGATTTTTCATAATTTGAAAAAATTAAGGTCATCTAAGATGGTGTAAAAACAATAAAAATAATAAAACCTAAGATGGTGTTTAATCCTCTCTTAGGGAAAATGATTTCAAGATAAAATGAATATTCAAAAAAACGTTGATTTTAGAATAAAAGGAAAAAAAAATTGTCGTAACCAGGATTCGAACCTGGGTTATTGCGGTCACTCACACCCTTAACTCTTTGATAACCCATATCAAAATCAAAATAAAGACCCTAACAGTCAAACATCAGAGTGAGACAAACAATGGAAACAATAAAACGCAAGAGGGTGACTCATGCTTCCAATGGTAGAAGTGATTTCAAGATGTCATTAGCATTCGTATCGTGTA